CACTTTATATGATATATGATATAACTCCATCCTAAGTGCAAACTATATTTATAGGTCTTTCGTCTTGTTCTTCTCTGTACACTACATGTTTCAGCCCCAAACGGCCATCATCAGGTGTATACACCTGAGTGTGTACGTGAGTGTATACACCTGATGATAGCCGTTTGGGGCCGAAACATGTAGTGTATAGAGAAGAACAAGGCGAAAGACCTATAAATATAGTTTGCACTTAGGACGGAGTTATATCATAAAACCTTCAGATTATGTCTGATTTAATTATAATTCTTTCTTACTGAATGTTTCTATAATATTTTTATAACATAAAATTCAAATCCATCTGAAGGTTCCGTACAAGGATACTGCAGCATCAGCTGGTGATATTTCCACTCCAACACAATTCTGCCCAGGCAAACAGACAGCAAGGCACTTAGAGTTTGGAACACCATTTGTGAAGCGTTTGAGAATGCATGAGCCAAAGAAGAAGGCTGGCATTCATGAACCTTGCAGAAACAGATTTGTTCTGGGGGAAAGAGAGGTGTGTCCAGAGGTGGTTGCAGGTAGACAGACAGCAGCAGAAGAACAAGCAGCACTTATAAGGAACAGAATAAGTTCTGGCAGTAGTGGGTTGCAGCCATGTAGGGGCAGCTACTATGTTCGGAAACAGGAGCAACACTTTCAAATGAAATGGCGAGAGGCAGTACAGCATACACTACCAGGCCAATACACACGCAACCAAGTAAGTCTGTAAGTGTGTACTTTTGTGTTGACAGCAGTTTTGCCATTTAATGGATGTTTAATTCAGAATTTAAAATACTGGATATGACATGTGACTGAATATCAAAATTGAATGGTTAGCACTGCTGCTTTGTATTTGGATGACCCATGTTCTAATTTCAGCTTGAAGACCAGCTGTCCTGACTGAAGCATTTCACATTATTTGTCAGTCCATGCCATGACCACTTTCACATTCTTCCAGTTCATTATGTAACTCATGTAGTTTCATGGCAGGAGTAATTACTGACGTATTTTAATCACTTTGAAGCATCTGTAATTGCCTTTTCATCTTATTGTGTCTGTGTTCCTGTTCTATTTTGCATGTCTTTTTGCTTTTGGCATTGCAGCATTGTCCTTGTTCCAAATGTTCATTTGTTTAGTATCTTTCCTTATGACAGTCTAAAAGGGATCCCATTGCTTTCCATATCACCATTGCCTTAGTTTAACCAACTTTACTTGCATTGTTCCTACCTTCATATCTTTCCTGATGTCCCAATGTTCGATTTTACCTCTTCTTCTTTGTTTCTTAGTATCTGAAATTCTCAAAATCTGCCTTATTGTCATCATTCGAGGAGGAATGGGGGCAACATCTGAAGGTGCAGTAGAGTGAGAACTCAGTTCTTGGTATTGTCATGATGTCTTGAAAGGCCTATTAGGAACTGTCTTAGGGACTCTTAGTTGCAGTAGTTTTGCAAGCCAATAGTTGGCATGTAATTCTTTTTTTGAAGACTGCAACAGCTTCACTTGTCAAGTGATCACAGATATTACCTTGAAAGGTTTAATAACATTTGAAAGTTAGATATTTAATATATGGAACTTCTTTGAATAACTGGGTTCTTTCTCTCTCTCCACAGCTTCTCAAATTTGGATTGAAAGAAAGTGTTATAAATGTTTCTGCAGAGAACGCAGTTGAATTCAGGTTCTCTGCATGGGACTACTACAGGTTGGTTCATATTACATTGACTGTGGAAGTTCAAATAATGATGATGATAAATAGGGCCCAGATTTTTATGACCTAAAAACTATAAATATATGCATGCACTTATGACCCAAAATTATATCAAATATGACCTAAAAAGTGTAAAATATGACCTTAAATATTAAATGGGACATAAAATTTCACAATTTTAATTACAACTTTTACTAGAGTTTAAGAATAAAGATGATGAATATATGATAGTAGGTCCTACTTACCAAATTAGCCCTATTATGTCTCTGAAGGAAAGGAAACTGATGGAATTTCGACATTTCGTACTGGATTAAACCATTCATTGTTTTCTTTTTAATACTGATATTTGCGTTCATATTTTAGACAAACACTGGTGCACATGGTATGAACACTAACTTAACTCTGTTATCTAAAAACGCCATTTAAAAGAACACAAGCTATTCACGTCTCAATTTTCACTGAGTTATTCACGTCTCAATTTTCACTGTTACAATTGCAATTTATAACTACATGCATTTTCAAATTTTCAAATTTGAAAGATCGCCGATTATCACTAAGGATAGTTTTGTATTTGGAAAAACTTCGTTCCACATCACATGATGTGACAGGAGCATATTTGAAGAATGTCAAGTCGTTTGGTGACAGTTCTGTATCATCTTCGAATGTTGCTAGTTTACCGGAAAGTATATCTGCAATCTTGCATAATGTTGAATAACCAGCATTCCGATGAAGAACACTTTCTATTTTGGTTTTAATCCTGTCACTTATTTCACCACGAGTTCGGTTTAGTTCATTCTCAATGCTCTTTACAGTGTCCAACGCGTCACAGAGTTCAGTCCCTACAAATTCCAGGCGAGTTATTGCACCTGAAATTGAACAGAAGTTTGACTTTATGTATGCCAGATTTTGTGCTAGAGTGGTAGAGAATAAGTCCTTGACAGCTTTAATTGATGTTGACTCACTGCTGTCAAAGCCATTAAACATTTTCTCAATGGCTGTGTAATTTTCACAATAATATGCCACAGCATCCAACCATGTACCCCACCGTGTGACGACAGGCTGTGGAGGAAGTGGCAGTAGAGGAGCTTCTTGTTTAAATTTCTGCACTCGAAGAGGGGCCTTGATGAATATTTTCTTTCCGTTTGAAACTAGCCTATCTACATCAGGAAAATGTCCTCGAACTTCTTCAGCCACTCTATGCAATGCATGAGCGAGGCAAGTAATATGGACCATTTTCGGGTAGAGGATTCGAAGTCCTTTGGCAGCCTTCTTCATGTATGGAGCGGCATCTGTTACTAGGAGAAGGACATTATTTCGCTGTATTCCATTTGGCCACAACAACTTCATGGAATTATCAAATAGGACAGCTATAGTCGAATGATTTGCTCTTTCGAGAACTTCACAGTCAAGAAGAAATCTCTCTCCAGGTTGATCTTGTTTCAGGGTCCCAACTATAACATTCGCAATATACCGCCCATCTACGTCAGAAGTCTCGTCCAAGGAAACCCATATCTTGTTGTCAGCAACAGATGTTCGAATCTTATTTAACATATCTTCATAACATGTAGAGAGATAATTCTTTCTTAACGTCGATTCACTTGGGATAGGATGACTAGTGTATGTCTCCAAAAATTGTCTGAAGTGCTGATTATGCAATTTCTCTAATGGAATATTCGAAGATACCATCCACTGACACAAATCCTTCGAAAATTCCGACCCATTGTTCGTTGAAGAAGAAGAAGAAGATGAAGAAGAAGAAGAAGAAGAAGAAGAAGAAGAAGAAGAAGAAGAAGAAGAAGAAGAAGAAGAATTAGTGGAACTGTTTTTAAACAACAAACTTTGTCTGCTATCCTTTGTAGATAATCTGCTTAAACATTTACCATGTTTAAAAGTTTTACAATGCTGCTGCACAGTAAATCGCTTTTCTGCCGTAACTTTCACGCCACACAACTTACAATAAAATATCTTGCCATCAGTACTAAACACTTTTACACCAAACTCCTGTACAAAACTATGCAACTTTGCGCTCCTTGAACTACATGTACTCACTTTAGGCATTGTAAAGTCAAACTGAAGTCTTATAACGCCCTCCACATATATAAATAGAATACTTCTAAGCCCTCCAAGAAAGAATGGCATGTATATACCTTATAGTAAGATGGAGTACAATAGGAGAATACCCGTTACACTTGCCTCCCTCCAGCCTCGACTGGGAAAGGCCGGCTTGCCAAGTCATAAATGCTGCATTTCACAAATTTTCGCCTTTGTAACTGCAAGTACAGTCAAGTAAAAAATATGGTTTTTAATATGAACTTCATGTACTTGAACTCTATTCCACATTGAAGCAACAGTCCAGCCTGAAATGTATTTTGTAATACTAAACATTATGGAGCCGAAATTTTACATTATATCAAAGAATTGTTTCTAAAATGACAAAAATATGACCTTATTTCAAAATTATGCCAAAATATGATGTAAAACCAATAAAACTCTAAAGTATGCATTTATATGCACAATAAAAACGACATAATTTCAATAAGAATGACTGGAAACATGCATAATTACATTTAAAAATAGGAATAAACCCTAGGAAAAAATATGACATGTCATAGAAATCCGGGCCCTAATGATAAATATGACTCATCCTAATAGAAAAAGTTTTTAATCCATGTTTAGTAAATTATTGCTCTTCATTTGATGTTCTACATGAAATGTGTTAATTAATGTATATCATTCCATTCCAATTCTTTTATTTAGAAGAAAACTTTTTTTATATATACAAATTTATATTTACTTATTCTGTTTCAGTCAATCACTGTGCCAGGACAACGTCACAGGCTTGCTAGTGGGAGATGGTGCACATCTGGTACTTGATGCTAAAGGAACTGCTGGTGTAGAGGAAGTCACTCGAGCATTCCTCAGCAGTCCTGGCATAGAACCTACATTGGTGCCTGCAGGGTGGGTCAGCAACCATTATCGTTGGTTGGTTTGGAAGTTTGCTTCTGTAGAACGCAGCTTCCCTCAGCAATTTGCTGCCAGGTATGAAACTTAGCAGTTGCTATAAAAATATCATTCTTCTTTCTAACTGATATCCATATTATGTGAGTTAACGGTTGGTAAACGTTTCCTCCCATTTTAGAAATACCATTCCAGTTTCTTCTTTACCATGTCTGTGTCGCGCGATTCACCTAGTGACTAAATGGTCTGCTATAGCAGTAATGCCCTAGTCTTGTATTTGGTAGTTACCTGGTTTGAATCTCAGGTGGGTTACCTCCTGTACTGGCTGAATATCTTTCATGGTTTTCCTCAGCCTTTACTGCTGAGTGCTCGCATATGTTGTCATTGCTTCCTTTCAAATCTTCTCCTTCTCCAACTTCTTAATTTGCCTGTATATAATGTATGCACTTTAAGCAGTGTTATTAAATTTTGTCTGTAGTAATGTAGCCTGTAGACCTGTTACTAGGTAATGACGCATGCAACAAACATGTTTCCATGGCCACAACAACAGAGAAAATGTTGGAAATGGTGTTTTATACACTGTCCTTGCCAAGGGGTTATATAACGAGGACACCAGCCAAGCTGCAGTAAGTTAGTAAGTCAGTCTGAAGAGAAGATGTAGAAGACACTGTGTGCTGCAGTTACAGTGACCTGTAGAGTATGTAACCCAATGAGGCTGTTATAGTTACATGTAGTCATGAGTCATGTGTTAAAGTGGTCAATAAATCCAATCACCAATCCAAACCCCATCTGTAGTCATGCTCATACATGCTACAGTATATTTTCAGTCAGCTGATAATATTATCTTGTGATTGAATGTGACTGTAGGTGGGATTTGGATTGGTAATTGGATTAATTCAACACTTACAGACTGTAACTACAGGTAACTATAGCGCTGTAGCTAGTTCACTTGCTCTGCAGTTCACTACGGCATGTACTAAGTCTTCTTAGTCTGCTGTGTGTTCCCCAGTTGCCTGGTAATGGTTTCCAACTTTGTAGACCCCTCAGCATATGTTTTCACAGCTTCATGTCCTAACTGGCTGTCACCTCTCAAGCTGAACCAACTGGCTTCCAACTGCTGAACTCACTCACAATGCACAATTGATTCCTTCCTTATATAGTCTCAGCACAGACCACATAGAAAACACCTCTCCAAACAGTACTTTTATTGTTTCATCATGTGGCTGTTGCTTGGATTGCATGGGTAACACCATTCCTCTATTGCTGTTCATTCTTCTTGTTTTTTAGTTTTACTACTATTGTTTGTTTTACCTTCCAAATGTTCTAGTATTTTGAGTGGCAGTGAATAATTATTGGAAACATAATATTTTTTATACATGAATAATTTCTGTTTTAATTAAAGAAAAAAATTATATATAGAACAAAGCACATGAGCCTTATTCACATTTCATTATAGTCTTCTCCTCTCTCAATACATATTTGTCACCGCTGTACCCAACACTGGAAATATTTTAGGAAACCTTCTTTAGTAGCTTGCTTTCTCCACTGTCCACAGCATAGTTTTGACTGATTTATTGATTTATGTTTTGATGTATCAGTGAACAGTCAGAATTCAGGCTGGGCTGGGTCAGGTGAGTAAGGCAGATGTCACAGTATCATAATTCTTTTTTGAGTAAAAGAGGAAATTCAGTGCAGTAGGGCAGTCAAGAAAGCCTGTACTTCACATGACCATTCCTAAGACTAACAGTTGAGCCAAATCGAGTCCTGCATTAGAAGCAGTATAAACCTAAGAGCTGGTGCCAGACTTAATTTCTGACTTGTCTCTAGAAAACTTTTAAATATGAATAAGTGGAAGTTACTGTAGAAATTTTTATGCCTCTGCAGATGCCTCACACCCAATATGCTGCTGTTGCAACTGAAGTACCGTTATGATCGAGAGATTGATCTCTGTCAGCGACCTGCCATCAGAAAAATTCTTGAGTGTGATGACTCAGCTGCTAAAAGACTAGTCCTATGCGTTGCAAGGATTATTAGGGTAAATAATATTTACTTAGCATATCAAGTGATTTTAATTTTCTTTTTAATATTTTTTTGGGGTGGGGTGAGACTGAGTCCACTTGGTGCATTGGGCACTAACTGGCCTATTGTACCAGCCCCAGACAATAGACGATGAGTATGGAGAAGTTGGTGGAATGAGAATTGGCAGGGGAAACCAAAGTGCCCAGAGAAAACCTACCCCAGTACCACTTTGTTCACCACAAATCCCACATGACCTGACCTGGACTTGAACCCGGGCTGCTGCAGTGGGAAGCAGGCGACTAACCGCCTAAGCTATTGCATGGTCTTCACTGTATTGACTTACTTTGATGGTTAAGTGATGCATAGCAAAATACAAGGTGGTTCAAATATGACCGGGACTGAATTTTTTTTAACCATAATTGCCAAACACTTACTTGCACATGTCAGTCTTCAACGTACTCCCCTCCGGAGTCAACACATTTTTTCCAACGTTCTGGAAGCATCCTGATGCCCTCTTCAAAAAAGGCTTGTGGTTGGTGACATATCCACTCCTGAAAATCTGGATGACAAAATCGTTGTGCACAAACCGCATGCCTTGCAGTCTGATTTGAGCCTTCCGAACAGGTAGAAATCACTTGGGGCCAAATCAGGGCTTTACGGCAGATGTGTCAGAAGGTTCCATTTCAATTTCCAGAGGGTTTCCACCATTGTTTTGGCCGTATGAGGGTGTGCATTGTCTTGAAGGAAGGCTACCCGCTTGCCACCTGTCTTCCGCTTGGATTGGATCTTTTCCTTCACATCTGTTGCCAGGAGNCATGCGCCTATTCTCACGAATAAGCATGTCTACGCGATCAATGTTCGGCTAGGTGACGGATGCTCGCGGCCGACGATTGTTTGGTTCATTCTCCACATGGTCTCTGCCCTCTCTGAAGCACTTACACCACTCAAACACACGGTTCCGTGAGAGACGCTCTTCCCCATACTGTTGTTTGAGTCTGTGGTGAATTTCAGTGGACTGGACGTTTTCTCCAATGAGGAATTTGATCACAATGCGTTGTTCCACGCTCCTCAGTACCTTCTATTCGCTTATCATTCTAGCAATTCCCAGACAGGACTGAACAGGTTCTAACTTGAATAGGAGGGAGGGTGGAGGTTGTGGCTTCACTCTCTCAAGGTCTCACAGCTGCTGCGCAGTGCAGCTTGTTTACACACAAATCAGTCCTGGTCATATTTGAACCACCTTGTACATTCACTCTTCTTTGTTAAACTATCCCTGAATTATTAACTTTATAAATTCATTGACTGAACTGCTATGCATGTGGGAATCAGAATTTAAATACACTTGGTTGTCGACTTACGACATATGCAACTTACAAACACAGCATATACAGATAGCCTAGGCATAGAAATGAAGATATGTACAGTAGGGTTAAGTAAAAGATATTTTATTTATTTATTTCATCTCTGTAGATCATTGTTACATGATATAGGACAAGTCAGTTACTGTACTTTGGCGGATTACGTTAAGAGAGTAAAGTTACAATACTTAAAATTGTTTACAATAGATTAAAGTAGATTACAATAGTTAGAGTTCGTATAGTGTGAGGTGGAATCCATATTAGGCCCCCTCGGCATGTCGGCTTCCATATGTCCTATTGTACCTATACCGGTGATTATGCTTATGGAGAATTTGATGGAATGAGGATTGGCAGGGGAAACTGAAGTATTCGGAGAAAACCTGCCCAAATGCCACTTTGTCCATCACAAATCCCACTTGACTATACTTCAGCGGTGAGAAGCCAGTGACTAACCACTTAAGCTATGTCGCGACCTTTGAGATAATATTGGTGAATTTGGTGATAGCACTGGTATAACATTTCACTGCAGACTCTACACTGGAACATCTCATTACATCTGTTCTCCCTTCCTGGTGCAGCTTCTTGGTACCGGCAATGTCTCCAGAGTAGCCCATTCAGGTACATCTCCAACTGTGCTATCCTGATTGCTGGAAAAAAGAAAGGAAAACTGCACAGTAGGGATTCCCAAAACTGATTATTCATGAATTATGTGATTATAATCGATTAGTGTTTGTCTCACAGAGAGAAACTCATCCACTTTATAAAAACAATGATCGAGTAGGTAAGTTTTCAAAGAGTCTTTGAAGTTATATAATACCGGTATTTCTTTAATATAGCGTGGGAAATGATTTAGCAGTCGAAGTCCTACATTGTTAAAGTTGTTCTTGCATAGACTTATATTATATGGGATGATGTGTAAGTTGTCTTTTTTCCTTGTGTTGTATGAGTGTAATCCTGAGTTGGTTGTGAAATCATTCGAATTGGATTTTATATATATTAGAGTTTCGTATATGTACAAAGATGGTAGACTTCTGACACCAGTTGTCACGTGTTTTGAGTTCGAATCTCGTTGGTCACGTGTTTAAGTTCAAATCCCACTTCTGACACCAGTTGTCACGTGTTTACGTTACTGAATACACCGTAGAGATCGTTAACTGGTTTATTTAACAATCTACAGATAACGGCTACAATTAATTATCTCACAGTTGCGGGGTTTCACACTTTATAACCCTAATCGCATTAATCTGTTCGCTCTGTCTTCAGTGGTCTACACGTTTACAGTCGGGGAGCTAGGTATCACTGTATCACACGCTCCCAATTACACAATCACACTCACGTCCGGATCTTCTTTCCGCGACGGCTGCTATACTCCACTATAGTCGGCTGACTGGAGAACTGTTGATAACACACTCGCTCGTAGGCTTGCTCGAACTATCTTCGGCGATGGCTACGTTACAACTCTGCGGTAGTCACACTAGAACTGTGTCAGGCGGCTGCTACAGTAGAACTCAGTACAACTCACTAGTACAACTCAGTACAACTGACTGTGAATAGCCTTCGCTGCGCCTCCTGTAGCCTCGCGTTCTGAGAATTTGAAAATTCCCCTTCTGTAAAATTCCAATCCAGCCATCCGAAGACACTGATGCACTGCTTTCTGAGTTGCTTCCCTTGTCTCAAAACGTTGTCCACGCAGCTGATCCTTCACAAATCTGAAAAGATGGTAGTCGGAGGGTGCCAGATCAGGGCTATAGGAGAGATGTGGAAGAACTTCCCACCCCATCTTTGCATTTGCGTCCAATGTGAGGCGAGCGGCGTAGGGGCGAGCATTGTCATGCAGGATGATGATGTTTCGTCCCAGACGTTTATCGTGCAATGCATGACGGAGCCTGTGCAGCATCTGGACATAACAAGTAGCATTGATGGTTTGTCCAGGTTCCAGGAATTCGGCCAGAATAAACCCCTCTGCATCCCAGAAGACTGTGCCCTTCACCTTCGCAGCTGATGGCACTGTCTTTGCCTTCTTTTTTGATGGAGAATGCAAATGGTGCCATTCCATACTCTGCCGTTTCGTTTCAGGCCCGAAATGGTGAAACCAGCTTTCGTCACCTGTCACAATACAGAGCAAAAAATCATTGCCTTCGTGTCAATATCTCTGTAGCAGTTCTGAGGTGATGGCTTTTCGCTGACCTTTGTGGTCTTCGGTCAATAACCGCGGGACCCAACGAGCACAAACTTTCCTATAGTCCAAGCTTTCAATCTCCTGTACCGCACTGTGCCCTATTCCAAGTTTTCAGGCTATTGCGTCCACAGTCACACACCGGTAATCTTGAATGATCTCATCCACTCTTTCCTTGTTGTGTTCAGTTGAGGCTGTTCGAGGACGACCGCTCCGAGGCTCATCTTCAATGCTGGTGTTCCTGTCTTTAAAATGTTTCACCCATCTTCGAACACTGCTCGCACCCATGCACACAGTTTCATAAGCACGCTGAAGTCTGTGGTGAATTTCTGCAGCAGGGATTTTCTCTTTCAAAGAAATTCGATGACAGCACGCTGGCGAAACAACATATCGTTGTCAGCCACCTACCACCAAACTCTCTTTCATCTGCTGTTCACAGGTTGCATTCAGAAAAAGTTACTCATGGCTTTCGGTATGACCTACGTAGTTGTTTTTGGGACCTGGGTCATAGCTCTTGTGGCTCTCTTCTGTAATTTAAAGATCAATTTTGCATTTACCAAGTTGCCTCAAAATATCAGTCCATATGATATCAAAGACTGGAAATAAGCATAATATAACATGTGGACAGTCTCTAGTCCAGTCACTCTTCTAACTACCCTTAGGCCAAAACATACTTGGTGTGTTCAAAAAGTATCAACCCTTTGGTCGGCAGAAATACATTTATTGATTTGGAGGTACAGAACCCTAATCCCCTTCAAAGTAGTCTCCTTGGTAATGTGTACGCTTCTCCCAGCGCTTCTGCCATTGTTGGAAACACTTCTGGAACTCGTCTTTTGGAATGGTGATCAGTCGGGCCATCGCCTTCCACATGATGTCTTCTCTTGACTCAAATCAGGTTCCTTTCAGCGGCATTTTCAGCTTGGGGAATAGCCAGAAGTCACACAGAGCCATGTCGGTGGAGTAGGGAGCTTGACAAACCACAGGGATGTTGTGTTTGGCGACGAAAGTCTGAATCAGATGTGCAGAATGGGCGGGTGCATTATCGTGATGGAGCTGCCAAGTTTTTGCTGCCCACAGATCTGGTCGTTTGCGCCGCACAGCATCACGAAGGCGACGAAGGACCTCCTGGTAGTATTCCTTTGTGATGGTTTGGCCTTGTGGTGCGTACTCATGATGCACAACCCCATGGGAGTCGAAGAAAATGGCCAACATGACCTTGACATTGCTGCAGACCTGCCGTGCTTTTTTTTGGCCTAGGGGATGTCGGATGTTTCCACTGTGACGACTGCATCTTGGTTTCTGGGTCGTACCCATAAACCCACGACTCATCGCCCGTGATCACGGTGTTCAGAAAGTTGGGGTTACTGTTTGCATTGTCCAGCATGTCCTGTGCGATTTCCAGATGGCATTGTTTCTGCTCAATTGTTAGCAGTTTCGGTACGAATTTTGCAGACATTCTCCTCATGCCCAAATCCTCGGTCAAAATTGAATGTACCGATCCAGTGCTTACCCATATCTCATTTGCAAGTTCTTGGACTGTGATACGACGGTCCTCCATGACCAAAGTCCGCACTTGCTCAATGACATTCTCATTTCGGCTAGTTGAGGGTAGGCCTGAATGTGGTTCGCTGTCCACTGATGTGTGGCCATCTTTGAAGCGGTTGTACCACTCCTTTATCCATGAGCTGCTCATGGCATCTTCCCCAAAAGCCTGTTGAATCTTGCGAATGGTTTCCACTTAGGTATCGCCAAGCTTTTGGCAAAATTTGATGCAATATCGCTGCTCATGTTGTTCCATCATTTTACACCTTACTGGAATCCAGCGAGCGCTCACTACACGTCCTCACACATAGGCCGACTGCCAGCAACTGACGCTTTCTGAGGGCGGAAAAAAATTCACAACTGCGCATGAATGCCCCCTCCACATTTCCACCGAAGCGAGCCTACCACACTTCATTGGTTTACGCGGGAAAAAAGAAGGTGCGATACTTATTGAACACACCACATACTTTACATAAGTTGTTCACTAGCTTTTGCATATGCATAGTCCATCTTAGATGCTTATCTAGCCAGACTGCCAGAAATTTTGAGTGATCTGTGTAGTTGATAACAGTGTCATAAATCTTTATTGTAGGGCATTCAAGTTGTAGTTTTTGAGGATGATGAAAGGCTATTGCTATTGTTTTCTCTTTATTAATAGTTAATCAATTCCTCTCAAACCACTCTGTGATTTTGTTTATTGTTTCATTCATTTTCCTTTGAATTTCGTTAGCACTATTTCCTGCTATAAAATACTAGTATCATCGGCAAAGAACATAGGTTTCCCATGTTCTGTGCTGGGCCCCAGGTCGTTTATGTATAACAGAAACAACACTGGTCCCAGAACGGAACCTTGTGGGATGCCATAGCTGATGGGTCTCTTTCGGAATAGGTGATTAATGTTTCAATTAGTTTTTTTTGCATCGGTATGTAATTTCTACCTCTTGTTCTCTGTTTTCTAAGTATGTTTGGAACCACCTTAGTGTAACCCTTCGTATTCCCATTCTTTCCATCTTAGCAATATATCATGATCTACTAGGTCAAACATTACTGTATTTAAAATGAAAAATAAAAGATGATTAAAATGTTAAGGTTTTTAAAAATAAATTATAAAGATGATAAAAAGATTAGAAAGGTTAAAAAATACTGTTAATAAATATATGGCCAACATATGACCAGATCGACTTACGACCTGTCAGTCAGAACGGAAGTTGGTCATAAGTCAACGACCAAGTGTGTAGTACTATTCTATGGAAGAGGGCTGGAGTCTTTGGATAGGATTTTTGTAGTAAAAATTTTAGTGTTTGTAGGAAATTTTCTTAGGATATTGTCTGTGTTTGAATAAAAAGGTACAGTCTTTTGGAGGTCTTTAGGCATTTTCTTTATTGCTAGTGGGGTGGGACTAAGTCCCTTGTACTGTGGCCACTTCTGGCCTATTGTGTCAGCCCCAGATGATAGGTGAGGGTGATTGTGGAGCAATTGGTGGAATGAAGATGGCAGGGGAAACCAAAGCACTTGGAGGAAACCTACCCCAGCACCACTTTGTCCACCACAAATCCCACTTGACCAGACCCGGGGTCGAACCCGGGCCACCGCGGTGGGAAGCCAGCAACAGGTCTTTAGGTAGATGGAGAAGGAACCAATTCTTTTGGGCTTATTAGACAAAGCTAGCCATGTTACCTATTTGACAGTCACCCAGTTTAGAAAATGTATAAAGCTAGATACGAGACAGGTATCTTATAAAGTGAAACGCATCTTTTAATGCTGCCCTCAAGTTTTATTTGCCCGTTTTGTTTTATTATCACTCCTCCTTCTGCCTTAAAATCTTATTCTTTTCCTTTTTGTATCATATGTAACTTATTTCATAGTTAGTTATGTAGTTACATAGATGGATTTTTTATTTTTTTATTCTAATGACTTGTTTCATGTTCTTTACATATTTAAGTAGGTTTTCAGTTCTTGTGTTTGCATTTGCTGTTTTCTGTACTAGGCATATATCAAACAGTTGAAAATTTCTCTCACAAATGCATTGTATCAGTAAGAATTTTACAAACTTTGAAATGTGGATCTGTAAATTCCACTCCCCCAAATGCCTTCATGGCATAATGCTTAATTAGTTAAGCAAAGGGACAACTTTACCTTTTTTTTCTGTTTTTTAAAAATATAAAAATATATGCTTCACATCCAAAATGTTGTCACCCTTTGGGTCTATATTATAATTTAGTTTTAAGTGGGCTGGTCTCATTTGCTTGCAGTAGAAGTTTCCTCCATTTTTGTTTGTAATTCTATATTTTTTTTAACTGAAGGAGAATATTTGTAGCTAATTTTGTGTTGGTTCTACACACCTTTCTACAGCTTTCTTTATTTACATAGAAACTTCAATTTGACAGCTTGTATCCTGCTGATGTCCCTTCTGTAACCCAGTTTTCACTAACTAATCCACGGAACTGAGTCACATTTACTACCACCATATAATATTAATATTTATATGGCCATAACTTTGCTGTAGTTAATTTTGTGTCCATTATTGTTTTACCTTCCAACCATAGGAACCTAATTTGTGTGAAATGTTAATACAGTTTTCTGACTGCAGCTAGACAGCTCTGAATCAGATATGCGCTATGAACTGGAGCTAACTGATGGATGGTATAGCCTCACTGCAGTGCTGGATCAGGAACTGTGCCAACGTGTTCACCGGGGCACTGTTGCAGTTGGGACTAAGCTCATTTCTTATGGCGCAGAGCTGCTCAACCATAAACAGGGTTGCTCACCCCTTGAAGTAAGTCATTTTCTTGCCAGAATGTGAAAAATTTGCCACTTTAACTGAATCATCTTATCAGTAAACAGGTCGTGAAATGCTGTTCTTGCATGACTGTGTTTATGATTATGTAATGAATGACAGTAACTACTGAGTTTTCTTCTGTTACATGAAAATATGAATTCATGTGTTTGTTTTTATGAGGGGGTACCTGGTTACATAGTTGGTTGAGGCACTATGTTACAAGCTGGAAAGTAGTGGGTAAGCCTGTAACAGAAACGAGTACCAGGAATTTTTCTGGGGTAAAGGGCAGCCAGCCCATAAGTCTGATAGTCTCATTGGCGTCTGTGAGCCTGTTACACAGATAGCTTTACTTTTTACAACATTTACAAAAAATTGTGACTTGACAAAATTTATATCTTTTTTGAAGTCTAAAATTTCTGTGGAACATTCTTTAGTATATTATATTTTTAACAAAATGCAAGGAAAGGGTGGTAACAGTGAATTTATATCTACAGTTTATTAGCAAGGCTTTGAAGGTCGCGGTGCTAGTAGGGTCAGTTTAGGCCTACACCTTATGCATTCATTCGTTTGTATGAGCAAGGCTGATGTGTGCAGAATCCCAGAAAATGTCTGATATATGCATTTCCACTTTCATGACAAAATATTTGAAAGATACTGTATTACCCATGTATGTAGTTGTTTGCCTTTGAAAATAATGGAATGTTTGTATGTTACAATTAGGTTGGAAGTGATGTTAAGCTGAAACTATGTAGCAATTCAACTCGGCGGGCTCGCTGGGATACTAAATTGGGCTTCCACATAAATCCGGGGCCATTACCCATCTCACTTACTTCCATTTTGCCTGCTGGTGGAGTTGTCAGCCGTGTCTCGGTGACTGTGGTCAGGGTATATCCTTTGGTGTATGTGGAGAAGCTAGATGAAGGCAGGTCAGGTGAGTTTTTAATGCTGATTACTTTAACCTTTATATTTCTTGAATACTGCTAGGTCTTGCAACTCTTGCAACTAACTCACGGCTATTTTACACTAACTTCCTGGTCTTCTCTTCACTGCCTGACCATCAAGTGACTTAGCTCTAAACCTCATCTCATTTATAACCCCTCATCATGGACTTCATAGAAACACAGCTCTTCCATTGTTGCCCCAATCATCTCCATGGGAACATGCCTGCCATCGAAGGCATCACCCAGCAATGGCCATGTATACTTGCTTATTAAAAATCTGTTGCCTAGCAGTGAATGTTGTTTCTTGTCTGTTTTGAGGTTGCTACACCACAGCAACTCTACAGACTACAGTGCAATCCATTCTTCTGCTATCCCAATGCAACTTCATCCCTTTTTCCCATCCCTCAGGGATATTACCCACACTCTTCTAAAGTCACTGACTGCTTTATGGTGTTAAATGTTCCAGTAAGCCGCTCAGTGTGGGCGGAGCAGCGAGCAGCAGCACAGTGGGAGCAAAGACATCAGGATTATGTTGAAAAAGTATATAGTGAGATGAAAGTTGACCTTCACCAGGAGGAGAGCAGGCAAAGGCATTTGAAATCTCATTACCACATACCCAGTGCTCAAGAACTGGCATCCATATGTTCTGGTGACAAATTATGTGAGATTTTGGAATTAGCACCTGATCCAGCTTCAATAGAGGTACTGTTTGTAGTGATATTTTTCATAGTTACTGAGTGTAAAAGTAAAGCTATCTCTGTAAGAGGCTGTGAAGGCCCATATGGTTGTGAGATGTTGAGGGTCCCACATTATCTAGACAGTTGGCTCAAAGATGGCGGTAAGGTTGTCAGCCTTATGCGCTGGCCACGCTTTACTCCCCAGGAAAATTATTGAATTAATTCTTGTTACTCATTTCTGTTAGAGGCTGAGTTGACCCCAGGGCCATAGTGCGGCTGGAAGGATTAGGTCAATTTAAAAAAATCCAATGACCTCATCGGGACTTGAACCTGTGACCTTCCAGCTTGTAGCATAGCCCCTCAAACAATGCTACCGCGTGCCCCAGATACTGCGTGTGAGATAGTTAAATATCTCACAGTTTTTCCTATGTGTGGCCTACTATATTACTGACTGATGCTTCTATAATGAGAAATTACAGCTGAATTGAATCAAGGAAATATGCCAGAACTGTCATTGATCCTTCTTGCATTTGTACTATGCAGTCAGTCCATATTGTCACGTGATAAGAGTGACTGTAGACAGGGTTTGGATTGGTGACTTGATTTATTGACTGCTTATACACAATACTTGTGACTTCAAGTAACTATATAACAGTTTACAGTCTCTACAGCACACATAAAGTCCTCCATGTCTTCACTAGTCGTTTCCTGGTTACAGATCTCTACACTGTCCACTGCTTACATCCTTACCTTCTGGCGAATATCACATAACTGAATTCATTGCTTCAATTAACTTCCAGGATGGCGGCCATCTCCCACCAAGCTCCTAGTCTTCACTTCACAAACTAACTGCAGCTTCCAACCTGTCCCACTTATAATATCTGAGCATGGACCAACAGAAAAAACAGCTCTTCTACTGTTGCGTCCATGTATGTTATGGTCATTACCTGGCAATAGCTACTGTTTACAGAGTCACTGCTTAGCAGTGGGTCTACATGCTACTGCATATATCAAGAGGTTTTGTTTTGTGTCACCATCACAGAAGTATTTATATCTTGATGAATGTTACATTTAGATTGTGGTCTTCCAATTTATGACACATTGCTGTCTGACAGGTTACTACCAACATCCTGGAGGAACTCCTGCCACCTTCTTCTACCTTGATCAAACCAAATTGTTTGTGGTGACCTTGTAAACTAGTGACAGTGAATGAAACGCATATTGTACTTCGATGTTTATGTTCTATTGGGAATGTGGTTATAGAGTAAATAAATTGTCATATTCTGTTGATATCAAATGTTACAGTACTTTTCTACAAAATATGAATGAAATTTGATTGAAATTGTGGAGCTTAATATTAATTTAACCCAAGCATGAATTTTGTGTGAATTCAAAGCTCCATCTCCTCTGTCCTTAAATTATTGAAACTGGTTTAAATCCTCACACTTAGAAGGGTTAATGGCACTACTGCTGCTAGCACCTCAGGTGTTCAGCCACCACATTGATATTATTGATCACATGGAATAAAACATATGAAGGAGACTGACCTCCAACTTGTTGTTATTCATATAACGTTACGTCAAAATCCATGCATTGGTTAAATGTTATTGTCCGTTTCTTAATTTTCAGTATTAAAAGTGCTTTCTTAACAGAATGTGTAATGTCAATGGAAGGCTGATTATAAATAGTGTGGTAGGAAACAGTAACAGCCTCTTTGAAGTTATTATCCTGCCATTTGTCTAAGGGGCTGCCAAAAACCACAGAAGATGTTAATCAGATTAGCTGTTTTTTATGACCTCCTGAAAACAAATCAGGCGTTAACGTCAGTTAACGCCACATATACATGATGCCAAATCCCAGAAGATTGCTTTCTTCAAGAAAAATATTCTTTCAATTCTCTCTGCTAAGTAAATATTTTGTTATCCATTTTATATGCAGTATTACTTGCACAGACTCCATTTTCATGTTGGGGGATCAGGCATTGTTAAGTGAGGAGCAGAAAATTGTGCTGGCTGACTACCAGAGGAGTAAGCATGAGAATACTCAGCGGGAACTTGAAGCCAGAGTCAGGGAGAGGATGAAGCAGTCAGATATAGCCCCACGCAATGTCACACCATTGTTGAGAGTGCGGTGTGTGGACCCTGTTGTCCCCATGTCAACTCAGTCGGCCATGCTTTCTGTGTGGCGTCCACCAGAAGATGTAATGCAGTTGCTGAAAGAAGGCAGGGTAGTCACATTGTTTGGTATTTCTGCTGTGGGAGTCAGGTAATCGCTTTAAGGATAACAGGTTATTTATGAATACTGTATCATTACTTAGCATGTTCACACCTGAGTACCTTGTGAGTCTGCCAGCCACTTTGCAGCAATCAGTACATATTCTCTATAGTAACATAATATGCCATCTGGTCTGTTAAAATTTTTGGAGCTCATATTACAGCATGTTAATTTTAGGAGGATTCAGATAAATTTGCAAGTGGCTGTTAACAAAACAGGAACAAAATTTGTCATCTGTTGAAAGTTCCAGTCATGAGGAGTTCTGTCTTCTGGTATACAACACTGTAGAGTCCATTGAAAATCAACTGACATTTCAGAGGAACATGTTGCTTCCATCTTCAGGGTTGAAGAATAAACCATGCAAGAAACCAACATGAAGCAGGCAGCAAACAGAGAAACACAGTTGACTTTCAACAGACTGCACAGTGTTATGTCCCAGAAGCTAGACCTCGTCATAAAAACTGCTGTGAGAATTTCAAATCCTTCAACCAATCATCTTCACTCAATTTTTGATACCCATTCTGTTTGCTTTCTGTCACAACTTTTGCTGTTTGGTATAAGACATTGTTTTTGTGAACATAAAGTATTTAAAGTAATTTTGTTTCTGTGACATTTTACTGTGTTTTCCATTGTGGGAAGTCAATTGTCAGATTTTGCACATACACATTAGTTGTTAAGCTGTGTAATTATGTGAAATGAGGCAAAGAGTAGTATGTCTGTGCTGTGTTGCCAAGCTGCAAGGGAAATAATGATGCATGTAATTATGGATGGTCAAATTCAGGTGGAAATCCCTCTTGGTATAGGGATTCACAGGTTTATTTAATCAACTTTATTTTATTCCCCCGTTTCAGACATTTTACCTTCATTTTTTTAATTAACTCACTGGCACAATGTAGCATGTTTTAAACTCCACTGTCTCTCTCCCAAATATGCACATGTGCAACTCATACTTAACACTTTGCAGACCGCGCACCCTTTAAATGGTTTTTCGCTTTTAAACATGGCGGACCGTTCACCTATTAACTGGCTCTTAGAACACGATAAGGTGCAACACACTATATATCTCTCTGGCGCCACCCAAATTACTGCGTAATATTACTCCGGAATGTTTGCCTAGTAGGTAGTAACTTGACCTCACTGTTTTTGTTCCCCCTCCAAAGGAAAATAATCTTTGACTCTTCAAGCTGTTATGTACCAGGCAGGATGTTAGTGCAATATGAATCAAGGACAGAAGCGGTTGAAGACAAAGCGATATCTCGGTGAAAACGAAATATCTTACTCGTTCTCCGATGAGCTATTTGACATGCCTTATGAGAGGAGTAGTGAAACTGAGACAGTGGCAGTGACAAGGGTTGACAAACAAGTGTAGCCACAGACAGTAAAAGTGAAAGTAGCTCCAACGAAAGTGCAGGAAGAAGTACAGGTAGTAAAATTGATGGAGAAAAGTAGACAAAACGCCTACTTTGGGACAGTTTACTGGAAATCCAGGGGTGAAACAAATTCCATCGGACACAACACAAGTGTCTGAAATAGCAGAACAGTTGTTTGGAGATAGAGATACTCATGTTGTGAATATGATTTCCACAATTCACAATTCGAGCATGGTTCATGTTCAAAGGAGACATGGACAAGTAAAGAAGCCTATTTGTATTTCTGAGTATAATATGTTCACGAAGGGAGTTGATAGAGCCGATCAGTACTTGGCCTATTATTCTCTTACTAGATAAACAATGAAGAGGACAAAGAAAGTTGCCTTGTGACTTATAAATTGTGCCATTTTCAATTCATTTTTGGTTTACAAAAATCTAAACCCCAATTCGAAATTGAAATACAAAGCATTTCTGATGGGTGTGGCAAAGGCCTGGGCTACAGACCAGATGGTGGCGGCAGAATGAGAGTCTGACAAAGACTTAGTGGGACCGGGACCAACCACTCCCACCCCTCTCAGGCCTCATGTGGACCCCCCTGGGCGACTCTTGGGTGATATGCAGAAATATACCCTCGTCAAAATTGTGAAGAGTGAACATTCCAAGGGTAAGCATCCTTCTAGGCAATGTCGTGTTTGCACAGTTCACAGAAAAAGGAGCATGACTGCCTACATTTGCAAGTTCTGTGTAATGCCACTTCACAAAGGGGAATGTTTCTAGGAATATCACACTCTCAAGCACTTCTAGGGGCATTGGTAAGTGTTCTCCAAAAATTTTAGTTCATAAAATTAGTTAGGAGATTTTATATTAATATTTAAAGTGAACAGTGCACAAGTTAGGGTAGTAGGTTTAAAAATGCCGGTTCCCACGGTGATTTAAATATTTAAATTGCCAGTCCGCAAAGTGTTAAGACTGTGATATTCTGTATAAAATTTTACCTCTCTTGTAGGTAATTGCTAAGGTTGTGCATTGAAATAACTGTCTTATGAAATCAAATTGTGTGCTGTGCATGTGCTTTTGTTTTGAAACTAGATTTCCAGTCACTTTAAGAAGAGATTGGAAGCATAGGGCTTTCATTATATGTTGTGAAAATTTCACTGTGTTCTACAGTCATCTAGCACAAAATTTACAACTGTATGAGCACATCAAGCCAGTAGAATTTATAAATCCACTTTTCATGATCTGCAAACTTTGTATAATGAATATGGCTTATACTAGTGTGGTACTTGAGTGAACTTTGGTTTATGTTGTCAGAAATGGAGATCTTAAACTCTCTGCTGGGAGGCAGACAGTTTACCAGCTAGCTTCATGCTGTAAACGTGACTTCCACGAACGCAGGGTAATGAGATTGAGTGAAGTCAGAAATATAGATTTTCATCCACCATTTGGAGAGTTGGATGTCGTTGGAATGGTTGCATACATTGGTCCTGCACCACAAGGAAATGTTGGCTTTCAGACAGTATACTTGGCTGATACAGATTTTAATGTCCTGGGGCTGGCTTTCTGGGGTGGTGTCAAGGTATGTTAAACTCAGAACATGTGTCATAAGTAGATTTCAGATGTTGAGACTCTAGAAACTGTCATATTATGCATTAGAAGTAGCCACATGTATTAAGTATGTTACTTCATTTGTACACTACAGGCATTTTTATCCAGTTGATCACCTACCATCAAAGATTCACTGGAGGTCAGTTCTCTTAATAATTGTCTACATATATATATATACAAGTAAACATAAGATCATTATGTTTATTTAGCTGAGTGTTGCATGTATTCATCACAGGTTATGCGTTTGTGCATTTGTTATGATTGATTTTCATATCTTTTCATACTTTGCTTTTGGAAGTGGAAAATTTGTGAATGGAGTGACTTTATGTTATTATTTACTGTATTATGAGAGCTATAGTGCTCTTTCTGTTTTGAAGTAAATTACTGGAACTTGTGGCAAGGTACGTTTGAAGAGAAGAGCAAATTACAAATGACTTACCAGTAACTTAACCATAAATAAATTTTGGAGCAAAACAAAAGTATAGTTGGTGCAAACCGTTGGGAGAAGTAGTGGCACCTGGGCCGCGCCATAGCTCAAGCGGTTAGTCACTGGTTTCCCACCGCGGCAGCCCTGGTTCGATCCTGGGTCTGGTCAAGTGGGATTTGTGGTGGACAAAGTGGTGCTGGGGTGGGTTTTCTCTGAGTACTTCGGTTTCCCCTGTCAATCTTCATTCCACCAAAATCTCCATCATTACAATCACCCAGGGCAGGCTACAATAGTCCAATCAGTGGCAGCCGTGCTGAGTGGACCCAGCCAAGATAGTGGCTTTTCCACTGGTTTTTTGTCTCTGTAGTTTAGTCCTCACCATGAGCTATACTTGCTTTACCACACTTCAACTCTGTGGCTCAGCCAAATTTGTTCCCTGTCTGCTGACATAGAAACAGACAGAAAACTGCTTTTCTTGTCTTCTGAATGTACAGAAGCTGTTTAAAACTTCTTATAAATCATCATTACAGCTGATAAAAGATGGGTCTGCAGTTGTTACTCAAAAATAAAGCAGCAATCATCATCTAAAATGATTTCTCGGCAAGTGTGTAGCATAACCAAAATAATGTTGATTGTTTTAATTGATTATGGCGGTGTTACACATCACAAATGCATTGTGTAGGGTCGTACTACTCACCAACATTTTTGTTTACAAGTGCTGAGAATCTCCATGATGCAGTGCATTATAAATTACCACAAAAACGAGTATAAAACAAAATAATTCACCATGACATTACAGTTTCTTGCCCAGATCAGCACGTTTGGCAGTTTTACACTAAATACAGTGTTGCAGAAGTGTTACAGCTTCCCTACTCATTGCATATGGCTCTTTGTAATTATAAACTTGAGAAGGTTTTGCGAGGCAAAAGATACGATGATGTGGAATTAATGGAAGAAAATGCAGTCAATCAGCTATTTTCTGTTCTAAAAATTGGATTTAAGGGGAGATTCCTGCAAGAATGGGGAACAATTTTGTGTATGCTGAAGGAACCTGTTTTGAAGGAAGTTAAAATTCTTACCCATTAATATGTCTTAATTTTCAGATTTAGGCTTGATATTGTTTTATCAGGCCTCTTAATTACACTCAAAGTTTGAATAGCTTACTGTGAGGTAAGCAGTTACGGGCACAGACAATAAAGACTAAGCACTGTTGTTCAAATGCGCATTTTTCAGCATTATAAAATTACATAATTTTATGTGAGTTGAAATATATATGTATAATTAAATATAATAATTAGAAATATAGTGCATACGTAATTAAATGTTTAATATATATCTTCATTAGAAATATAGGCACGTGCCTGAACACTGAAGCTGCACATTTTGGGAAATGAAAATTTAAATTAATTTTGTATGTAAATTTGAAGAGAACTGTAGTTATAATTACATATAATAATTTGCCAGCAATTTGGTTGGGAAGAGGTCCTTAAACCAAGGGCACTAATTGCTGCCAGCAACTTGCAGTGGCGTCATGGTGCGGCTGTCCGTTGGGTTCCATGTGCCTATGTCTCAGAACTGTCTAACTTCTCAGTAAATCCGTGCCATCCACATCTTCAACTGGCTCTTGCCTCACTTCGTCAAGAAATGGGCCAGCAGGTATGACTCCAACCATACTCACACAATAAAAATGTATTTATTGACAGAACTAAGTCTGCTAAGTCCTTGAGAAGTTGATAAACATGCAGCTGGGCAGTAAATTACCTTCTTTTATGGACTGAATATTCATTACCATGTTCACCGCAGACAATTGTTGATCCCTGTTTTGAGCCACTTTGTCTACACCTTTACACTTTGTGTGTAAAACCCATATTAACATTGTCCTTTCATCTGTACCTACAAGTAGGTCTCCCAAATATTTTCTTCTGTTAACAGAATCATGTAGTGTTGCGTCCTGTTTGTGGTGCTTATGTGTAAAATTGGAAGGGCTACTATAACATAAATGTTTTTATTAATCAATTCACAGCATATTTCAGCCCAGATATGTAATCATCAGATAATTCTTAAGGTATACATAAATGGTGGCAGGGTACAATGAACTACAATGCTGGTATAAAATTTTAGTTATTAAAAATTACTTATTTTATTACATCAAAAGTTGATATGGAGGGGACATGTATTGTACAGGGTGGGGCGCAGAAACTTCCTTTTTTTGAAGGCGAATAAAAGAAAAATTATTGCTGATAGACAAAATTTATGTTTAGCTTATGAAAGAACATACTTTAAAGTTTTAAATCATGTAGTTTTAAAGAAAGTATCTTGAAGGTGGTGGCCATTGTTCTCTATGCACTGATGCAACCATTTTCTGAAGTTCCCCTCTGCATGTTCCAACATGTGCACCAGAATTTGGGCTACTTCCTGCCGAATAACATTCTTCAGCTGAAGCAGGTTTGTGGAGCGATGTTTACAAACCTCTGCCTTGAGGTATCCCCATAAAAGAAAATCACAGTGCGTTAGATCAGGTTAGTGCACTGCCCACGGGATGTCACCTCGAAGCGAGATGAGCCATCCAGGGAACTTTGACCTCAAAACTGTCATTGAAGCTCGGGCTGTGTGGGCCATGGCACCATCCTGTTGGAACCAGGCATTTCCTACATGCATTTCTTCAAGAGCTGGTTCGAAAAAGTTTTTAATCATGTCCACATACCGCTGTGAATTGACAGTAACTGTATGACTGTCTTCTTCAAGAAAAATAAGGGCCAATAACTCCAACTCTCAACAAGGCACGCCATACTGTCACCTTATCACTGTGAAATGGCCTCTCCTGGAGCTCTCTGGGATTGTTACCACTCCAATAGCGCATATTCTGCTTATTGACATATCCGGATAGGTGAAAATGTGCCTCATCACTAAAGAAAACAAGTGCATCATTGGGTAAAGTTTCCAATAACGTTTCGCACACCGTTATTCGGTTCTGGAAATCACGTGGTGACAATTCTTGCACAACAACCATCTTATAGGGATGGAAATGAAGATGTTCGTGAAGAATCCGGCGCATTGAACGATTGGATATGTCTAGGGCAACTGCATGTTTGCGAGCAGAGCGTCTTGGAGATCTCAAAATCGACTGTCGAACTGCCTCCACATTTTCTGGCATCGTAACGATCTGTTGTCGTCCTGATGATTTTTTCACCACGCTCCTGGTTGTCCTAAAGTTCTCTACCCACAAAACAATCGATTTCCGGTCGGGAACCGGACCTCTGGGCTTAATTCCGAAGTGAGTATGGAACGCACGCTGCACCGCCACGTAGGAATGGTTGTTCGAAAAATAGGCTTCGACAGCAAACGCACGCTGCTCACTCATCCACCTCATGTTTCCTACTGAGGGTTATTAGACAGAAAGTTCCGCGACTGCTGTGTTCGCCGAGCCTATCCCCACTTTTCTGCAACCTCCCCTCCCTTCACAAAAAGGAAGTTTCTGTACCCCACCCTGTAGTTGTGAGGGCAAGCCCGCTAAGGAGTTAATTAAACCTTAATGTTAAATTTACTCTCTTTATAGGATTTTGGTGCCTTCTGTTCTGCATGCGAAGATAAAGTATCAACATTGCTACATGGATACACATCTCCGCTGCCCAAGTTAATTTCTGGAAGAACAACAACAACACGAGTTTTTTGTGATTCTCCCCAAACTGGTGTAAATCAAGGAGGCTTTAGATCTACTCTAAGTGGGAATACAATAAGTTCACCACAAATTACTTCTTTGAGGGACAGAACATCATTGTTGTCATCACCATCTCATGTATTCCAAGACAGTGTTACGTACAGTTCAGATATAGGAACTAACAGCACACCAGTGGAACGAAGGATGCATAAGCTTCAGCAGTATGGTGAACCACCGCCACTTTCTCCATTCTTAATGATTCCAGTTAAACCTGCCCTTCGCAAGGAGTTCCATGTACCATTAAGAAAGACAAGCCCTGTCAGCAGCAATAGCAGTTCTCCATTAAGCTTGCAAACTGATCCTAGTTGATTCTGTATTATAATATGTAGACAAATCAATTGTTTATCAGATAATATGAACTATAATCAGGTATGTATCATTGTGTAACACTGAAAGGTGCTGTGATAAAATTCTTGTTATATTTTGTAATGTAAACACCGAACACTTATTGGCCTCTTCTATTCCCAATTTTAAACCATTAAAAGGAATTATTTTTTCATGTAATTTTTATTCTTGTTATTTAGTGCAAATTATATAAAGTTCTTTCATGTCTCACTTGACTTTATGTTGTGATATCTGTTGTTCTGAGTTCATTTATTTAAATTAGATGCTTAACAGATCTGTAAGTTGGAAATATGGATGCCTTGGAATGAAAGTCTGCAACACAGTCTGTGGCTTAATGAGGATTAGCTGAACATCTTTGTATTTGTACTTTTTTTTTGTATTGCTTGTGGGGTGGGACTAAGTCCCTTGTACTGCGGTCACTTCTGACCTATTGTACCAGCCCCAGATGATAGGTGGAGCAGTTGGTGGAATGAAGATTGGCAGGGGAAACCAAAGTACTTGGAGAAAACCTGCCCCAGCGCCACTTTGTCCACCACAAATCCCACTTGACCAGACCCCGGGATCGAACCCGGGCCACCAAGGTGGGAAGCCAGCGACTAACCACTTGAGCTATGGCACAGCCACAAAAATTGATGTTACATGTTAGATACAGCCACACAAACTAAAAGAAGAATGTTCTCTATGTGGTTTAGGAGGTTACTGTAACACAGAAGCTTAATAGAAATATGTTTAACACTTTGCGGACTGGCAATTTAAATATTTAAATCACCCTGGGGACCGGCATTTTTTTACCTACTACCGTAACTTGTGCACTGTTCACTTTAAAAATGAATATAAAATCTCCTAATTAATTTTATGAACTAAAAATTTTTAGAACACTTACCAATGCTCCTAGAAGTGCTTGAGGGTGTGATGTTTCTCGAAACATTCCCCTCTGTGAAGTGGCATTACACAAGACTTGCAAATGTAGACAGTCATACTCCTTTTCTTGTGAACTGTGCAAACACGGCATTGCCTAGAAGGATGCTTCCCCTTGAAATGTTCACTCTTCACAATTTTTGCGAGGGTATGTTTCTGCATATCACCCAAGAGTCGCCCAGGGGGGGTCAAAATGAGGCATGCGTGGGGTGGGAGTAGACGGGCCCGGTCGCACTAAGATTGTGTCTGTCCCCGGTTCCTCCGCCACCATGTGGTCTGTAGCCCAAGCTTTTGCCACATTCAGCAGAAATGCCTTGTATTTGAATTTTGAATGAGGGTTTAGATTTTTGAAAACCAAAAATTAATTGCAAATGGCATGATTATAAGCCACAAGGCAACTTTCTTTGTCCACTTTACTGTTTTCCGAGGAAGAGAATAATAGGCCAAGTATTGATCGGCTCTGTCAACTCCCTTCATGAACATATTATACTCGGAAATACAAACAGGCTTCTTTACTTGTCCATGTCTCCTTTGAACATCAACCATGCTCGAATTGTGAATTGCGGAAATCATATTCACAACGCGAGTATCCCTCCAGGACTGAAGAAGAATATCCCCCTTCCTCCTGAATGTGGTGTCACCACGTTTCAGGGATTTACATTCCTCTTTCAGATCTGGAGGAAGGCCTCTGTTCACCCTAATTGTTCCACAAACACGTACTTTTCTCGAAAGTAGGTGTTCTGCAGTTGCCACACTGTTGTAATAATTGTCTTGATACACACGGTAATTTTGATCACGATAGGGTTCAAAAACAGAAAGAATAGTTTCTTGTAATTTCTTTCCTTCACCAGAATAAATTTCTAAATTTCCAATATAGCCTGAAGTGCTTTCAGTAACCACACGAACAAGTAGGCCCTACTTTGTAAGTTTTCCAGGATTATATGTTCACATATTGCACTACTCCCTGACAGCTTGCTACATACAGCTTGAAGAGATAAAGGCATTTATTTTCCTTTGCAGGGGAATACAGTTACAGCGAGGTCACATAACTGATTAGTCAGCAAACATTCCAGAGGCTTATCACACAGCTGCAGGCAGCTACTTGCAAGCTGGGTGGCAGCAGAGCGATGTATAGTGTGTTGCAACTTATCGTGTTCTAAAAACATATTAATGCATGCGCGGTCCGCAAAGTTTTAAGTTATCTACAAAAATGTCACCATAATCACTTTTCCCTCTGTTGATTTAAATGTGTTAGCAATATGCATTACTGTGTACAAGGTGCGGCAATAAAGAAACCGGATTCATGCTCTAACCCTTTATTGAAAAAAAATCAGACAATCGAAATGTTATCCCCTTCAATGTAGTCCCCTCCCCCATCCCTACACCGCTCCATGCGAATTTTCCACTGTTGGAAGCAGTGCTGCAGGTCATCTTGTGTTATGCTCTTCAAGAGTTGCGTCGCTTTTGCTTTCACTGCATCCACGGACTCAAACCTGGTCCCTTTGAGCGCAGACTTGATTTTTGGGAAGAGAAAAAAGTCGCACGGTGCTAGGTCCGGAGAATACGGTGGATGTTCCATCACTGGAATGTTGTTTTTTGCCAAATACCTCTTCACAGATAGCGCGTTGTGTGCTGGCGCGTTGTCGTGATGAAGAACCCATGAGGCATTCTTCCACATGTCTGGTCTCCTTCGTCGCACACGTTCACGGAGGTACGTCAAAACATTTTTATAATAAACCTGATTGACAGTCTGACCTTCAGGCACCCAATCAATGTAGATTACCCCCCGGATATCGAAAAAAACAATCATCATTGCTTTGAATTTGGACTTGCTCATGCGCGCTTTCTTCTTCCTAGGGGATTTGGGGCTCTTCCAATGCATGGATTGTCGCTTAGTCTCTGGATCATATTGAAGAATCCAAGTTTCGTCACACGTAATTACGTTTTGGAAGAAATCAGGATCATTGCCATGTTTTCAAGAGTGGTCAACACAGCAATTAACTCGATGTTCCTTTTGCTGGGGGCTAAGGATTTTTGGCACCACTTTAGCACACACCTTTTTCATGCCCAGATCGTCGTGCAAAATCTGTCTAACACTTTCCTTATTGATGTTCGTAAGTTCAGAAATTGCTCGAATGCTCAGTCGACGATCTCTTCGAACAATTCTAGCGACCTTCTCCACATTCTCTGGAGTTTTCGCAGTGGAAGGACGGCCCAATTTTGGATCATTCCCGACATTTTTCCTACCCTCCATAAACTTCTTAAACCACTCGAAAACTTGTGTGCGAGATAGACACTGATCACCATATACTTCTGTCAACAAATTGTAAGTTTCAGTGGCAGATTTTCCAAGTTTTGTGAGGAATTTGATGTTAACACGTTCTACATTAGCACTCAGCATTATTCCAACAGAGCTCAGACACACGATCCGCTTCTAACAATGGTCGCGGCCAGACTAACCAATGCGCATGAATGAAACTTTGTATGATGGTAGAGGGAAGTCCACGGGTCAATGCCCTACCCTCCTCTTCATCATCGACATGGCCGGAAATGAGTCATAAAAGTAATCTGGTTTCTTTATTACCGCACCTTGTATGTGGGACAGTCTTTTTATGCTAAAATTGGGTTTCCAAACTTTTCCTACATTAGACAATATTATCTTGTTTTTTATTTTATTTATTATTTTTATTTTTTTGACAAGTAATTTCATAATACAGTGGACTTTCATTCCGTTTTTTCTCCTAGTTAAGGTTCAGTTTCAGTGGTCTTGTATCAGCAGTCTCTGTGTCAAATATTTAAATAAATTCAAATATTTAAAGTTTTCATAGTTTAATATTCAGACCCATTGTCCCTCAGAGAAACTTAAAGTTTTTCACTTTAGCCTGATCTAATTATTAAGGGTATTGTAATTGTGTGAATGTTTAGAGTCTGTGAAGAAAGTGTGCTACAGGGTGTTGGGGTTGAAGCACATTTATTATGACTAATACCATATGTATGAGGTGTGATAAAAAATACAGTGAATGGATGTGCCAAAAGAAATTTATTGCATTAATTTCAAAGTGCCATTAGTCGCCTTCAAAGTAGACCCCTTTGCTGTCTATACACTTGTTCCAGTGGTCCAGCCAATGTCTGAAGGAACTCTGGAATTCATCTTTTGTTAACGCTCTGAAATACTCTTTTGTCACAGCTTCTATCACTGGAATCATGTCAAAACAGTTTCCCTTCATTATCAGTTTAATTTTTTGCAATAACCAGAATTCACAGGGTTCCAAGTTTGGCAAGCGAGTATGGGGGATTAGGACACATGGTAATTTTTTTATCAGCCAAAAACTGGCAGATGACAAGAGACTTGTGACAGGGAGTGTTTTCATGATCCAGCACAACTCTGTTCTTCCACTTTTCCAGCCATTTTCATTGTATGTCATTGTGTAGGAGTTCTAACAGACCTTTGCAATATTCCAAGCTTATGATGGTGCCACTAGGCACAAATTCAGCTCAAAGAATTCCTTCAATAACAAAGTAAATGATCAGTATGACTTTCACATTTGATTTCAATTGACACGGTTTCTTTGCTCTTGGTGAGTTCGGTGTTTTCGAGTGAGAACTGCATTTTCATTTCAGGATCACAACCATATACCCAAGATTGATCTCCAGTGATGAGACTTTGTAAAAAACTGAATCTGAATTTGCATGGTCACACAACTCCAACAGTATCGATTGGCAGAGTTCTTTCTTTTCTTGTGACAAAAAGCATGGAATAAATTTTGTACTTGTGTTCAAATTTTCTTGTCAGTATGAGTTGCACTGAGCCAAATAAAATGTTCAAAGTAATAGATATATCTCGAATCGCTAATCTTTTGTTTGCTGGAAAAATTTTGTTGATTATCAACATGTTTTCATTTATTGCTGCAGTTAATGGATGACCTAAGCGGCCTCTGTAATCTAGAGGTAACGTTCCCACCTCATGACTCGTAGTACGCGGGTTCAAACCCAGTGGAGGTCGTGGAATTTTTAAGGGCGGAAAAATTCAGGGAACAAGTCCTCCGGGAGGGACTTTAAGCCGTGGGTCCCGTGTCATAGCTTTACGGCACGTAAAAGAACCTCATATCTCCTAAGGAGGTCACAGCCAAATTCAAGGACATTTTCCGCCCAACAGTAGTCTCTAACGCCTCTGATAGATGGGGGAAGCATTATAGATAACGCTAAGCCAGTAGAGGCCGAACTCGCTGGCTTGGTCGGGACTGATGGTAAGCACCAGTATCGGTAGGGTATAGAGACTGGTAGAATATCATAGAGGGAAGCACAATGGACCAATACTGGTCTAAGTGCATGGGGAAACCCACCCTCTCCAATAACTAACTAATGGATGACCTGCGCATTGTTTGTCTTCAGTCTTCTCAGGACCACCATGAAAACATTCAAACCATTTGTAAGCCATCTTTTGACTCACAGTAACATCTCTGTTACCTGGACAAGCATTTCATTGGTTTCTGTAGCCTTCTTGTTCAATTTAAAACAAAATTCCATTTTCGTTCTTTGCTCTGACAGTGACACTTAAGGATTTCAGCTTTGTGTAAAATAAATGTATATATAACGAAAAAGTACAAAAATGTCTGAAGGAGATTTTATGTTTGAATGTTGAAATTTTTACATTGGCGCTGGTACCAAGAATTCTTGCATGTGCTGTAAGAGGTTTGTGTTATAATAAATTCGTATTTCCGTACAATGAATGAGATTTACTGCTTTGAAATTAGCCCTTCTTTCTGTGTATTCTGAACTTGAATGAAGAGAAGCTTTTTCTGCCACCTTCTGATATTTTAAGCCAACCATTAGTCATGAATATTTAAAAGAAAGGGCTGCTATGTTACTGAAAGTCTCAGGGTAGACAGGGCTCTTTTTCTTGTACAATGAGGTGCAATTATTTATTGCTTCATTCTGAAATATGTTCCAGCATGTACCCAGTTTTTACAAACCAACCTGCAGGATTAAATGAAAATAAAACTGCTCGTGCTTAAACATAAATCTGAAAAATGAAAGGAAATTACTAGCAAAAGAGCAACTATAGAAGTTATATGAGCAGAATGACATAACAGATTCAGGAAGCAATTTCCCAGCAGTTCAGAACTGCAGTATTGAATTAACGTGGTTGATAAAATATGTAGTGTGTATTCTGTTGTCTTTATTTGCGTTGTTTAGCATGGTGGGAATACTTTCAAGTTCTTGACTCTTACAGTCCAGAAATTCTAAAACACCAGGAAAGAAAACTGTTTTAAGTATTTATTTCCACTGATGAAGCCATATTTTGTTCAGAAGTTAAAATGAAGTAATTCCTGACAGCATTCCTTTAACAATTTTGATGACCTACAGAAACTGAAGGTATACATGAAGAAAAGAAGTGTGGAAAGTGCAAGAGTGAATTATGCTGACACTGAAAGGTAAAGGTATCCCTGTAACAGGCCATGAAGGCCTGTAGGGTTGTGAGAGGTTGAGACTCCCACATTTTCTCTAGACAATCGGCTCACAGATGGCAGTAAGGGGGTCAGCCTTACTTGCTAACTGTCATTTACTCCACAGGAAGATTCCTGGTAGCCATAATGTAGCTGGAAGTATTATGTAAATTGAAAAAATCCACCTCATCAGGACTTAAACCTGCAACCTTCCAGCTTGTAGCATAGTGCCTCAACCAACTATGCTACCATGATGCTGACACACTTCTATACAAATCATGAAATCAGTATTCACGCGTACAACATGTATGAATAACATAAGCTGTGATAAAGACAATTGTATCTCCTAGAATTATTACTTATACATACATTTAGTCATTCAAAGGGAATGAACAGTTATGTTTATTATTTTTTCATATTAACTGTTAATTAATTCATAAATAGCCATTGTTTTTATGCTCAATGAGAAATAGAAAACTTATAATAAAAATAAATAGATAGTTCATTTATGTTCATGAGTCATTCTGTAAAACACAAATGGTGTACAAAATGTACCACACAGCTGCTTAAATAAAATCTTAGGGCTTGCCTCCCTGAAGGTTACGGTTCAAAGCGTGAGACATTTTTCATTGAAGTTGGCAGGTTTTGGAAGCTGTCTAAGACTGTATTAAGGCCTTTATGTTAACTTAAAATTAATCCCATAAAAGAACATATATGAGAACAGTGATAGATGCACATAGTAGGTGACTGGACGCGAAGCTGCGATTTGGTGCTCATGGATTTTTTCACATAAAGGTATAAAAGTGAAAAATTCTGTATGTATGCGTGTGTGCATGCGTGTGGTCAGCAAGGGTGAAATTAAAATTATTATGAACCAGTTTCCACTCTTTATATAATCTGAATTCAGCCAACAATATCTGGAGTCCACTTTTGTTTTTCTGAAGATAATTCACATTCAATCAGTTGAAACTGCATCTTGTATGATTTATACACATATCTCTTTTTTTAGTACAACAGTAGGCCACATCATAGCTCTAGCGGTTAGTTGCTGGCTTCCCACTGCAGCGGCCCGGGTTCGATCCTGGGTCTGGTCAAGTGGGATTTGTGGTGGACAAAGTGGCGCTGGGGCGGGTTTTCTCTGAGTACTTCGGTTTCTCCTGCAAATCTTCATTCCACCAAATTCTCCATCATCATAATCACCCGGGGCAGGTACGATAGGCCATTCAGTGGCCACCATGCCGAGTGGTCCCAGCTGGACTCCACCCTCCACTAAGCGAATTAGTACAATAGTAAATCACGGCCCATGTGTCTGATGGATTGCTAAGTATAGGTGCCCACAAAGACATTGCTAGTTGAGACTGAGGTTGCTGTTCGTTGTTCATGTCCATATGACAGCTCTGCAAGGGGAAGAATTCCCTAGCAACTGTATGGTAACTTTGGCTAGCAACTTAATTAACACTTTGGTGTGCTGATGTTCACATTTGTGATGTGTTCTGTGATAATGAGTATAAATAAATGGTGCATGAAATTAATTCCAGTTTTACAAATAAACCATATTTGACCAAATTATGACATTATCTTCCATAAAATGATGTTCAATCAGGAGCTGTTTTGGATGCATGCAACATAATTCGGCTGGATGGAGTTATGATATCTGAGTTGATATAGTGACTAGGCTGAGTCCTGACAGAAGCAAGAAACGTTTCTTGACTGTACTGTACAGACCGACCCTCAGGACTACCCAGCTTCGTATACAGTAGTTACCAGGAGCTGTTTCCCCAGGGGATAAAGTGGCAGAGGCTTGAAGCTGACCATTCACATCTATTTAGTATGTACAGAGGTTAAGAATGGTAGAAATTCACTCCCACATATACCTTCTCGGCATGATGCTTAATTAATGAAGCACAGGGTTAACTTTACCTTTTGCCCTTTACTGGGGATAAAGTAAGGAACAAGTATATTTCTATATTTTTACCACCACAACATAAAACAGGAGATTATATTTTGAACATTTAGGAATATTACATCAAACAGTATCAAATGATTGCATGTAAATGAGTGTCTTCATAAAAGTGCACCATAGTTCATTTTGTTTTTAGTTGAAAATGTGTTGCAAAGTTGAAAGTAACTTTGTTGTACTTGAGGTAGATAGAAAAATATTTTCAGTGTCTAATGAAAAGCAGAAAGCGATAGGTGAAAACACAAATTAGTTCACCCTTCACAAAAGAAAGCCTCAGTATGATTCAAAATTTTGAAGGATCAGCGTCTCAGATCCCTTTCTCCACTTCTGCATTTCCTTTGAGAATGTTGATGCTTATAAATAAATGAATAACATTTGATAGTACTGCTATTACAAAATAAGAAAATGATTTTTGGATTTGAGATTGTGCTCTATTGTTAGATTGTGTCTAATCCAAATGAAATTTTATAGATTCTAAAGACCCCTGTTCTCTGGAATATAATCTTTTGTAGTTCATGATAGTTAACTGATGTTCAGACAAATGTACTTCATCTTAAGGCTCAAAGAATAAGTTAGCTGCTTACAGAACAGATGATTGATTCTAGAGTGTTCCACGTACAAAAATATTGCTATTCAGAACTCCTGTTGATAAATGTTCATACGTATTTCCCACAAAACTTCATTCTACGATAGAAATCATTCTCTGGAATCAAATTTCCCGCTGCTGAGGCCCAATTTAACTCCCTGTGACTTGGCGACCTCTTTGTTATTTCTATCTCTTTGCACACCTGGCCAGTGTGCGCTTGCGTACATGAAGTTGTTCCGCCAGTTTGACTTGTGCATGTGGTCGTTCAAGTTAGTACTGGTCTTCTTTAGTTCAGTTTTTGTACGGAAAACGAAGAAAAGTGGAAAAGCATTGAGCTTAGTGTGACAAAATTGGGTGTCTGAAATGGTGGATTTTGTGTTACCAAGTGATTCTAATCCGGTTTTTACACCAAGGACAGTATATGTGACTATGGGTGTGATGTTCAGGGGCACATAAAATTTAATTCCCTCTTCATATTTAAAAAAATATTCCGAGTTAAACGTATTGTACTTATTTAATAACTGTATATAATGGATAAATGCGAGAAGCAAGAAATTGACTTGTCTTGTGAAGTTTCATCCCTGCAGTACTTCAAAAGTTCTTTTGCCAGATCTATGGCTGTTGACTGCATGGACCAAAGTAAATCACTAGATAATGCTTTTCTGGACAGACCATTTGTTAGTGGAAAAGGTGCCCATCGCCAAACTGAAAGTGAAACATTGTGGACTTCATCTTCTAAGAACAGTAATCGAAATTGTAAAGTTACAACACTGTGCGAAAGAAATAAACTGTTGCAAAATGGTTGTGATTTGTCTTATGTTACACCTCTCAGGAAGAACAACAGAACTAGAAGTCAAAGCATTGATGCCGAAAAGCTTTGGAAAGCAAAACAGGTAACAGTATTAATAAAATAGTTATGCTTTATTACAGAAAAAGTGTACTTCACTGTTTATGCGTTGTGTTAATCCTTATTGAAGTAACATTCTTAATTCATCTGTAAAAGCATTTAATCATTTCACCATTCACAGCTTTGGTTATTATTATTCTTCAATACACTGCCACAATTTAAGCCGTGTTTTTGAAAATTTTTCTTAATTTTTCGTATAGTGAAGGAAATTTCTGGTTAATAGCAGTTACTTTGAGAGCTGTGATTGCAGTGCTGGTTCATATTTTAGTTACCCTCTGTCCCTATGTGTTCATGGCTTCTCCTCTGCAAGAGACTGGGAGCTGCTGAATTATTTTAGAGCAGTCCTCAACAAATTTTGTAGATATCAGGACCACCTCCAAAAATTAGGATCTGTATTTGAGAATAAAAGATAATTTTTTTTTCACACATTTATTATTTATAATATGCAGAATCTGCAATAAATGTATATGTTCAGTACGTACTGGCTCTTGAATAAGTTATGCCCATGGTGTCACTCATATACTGCTTTTCTTTTTGTTCACTTAAATGTCATTTTAATTCTTGTATTATAGTTTTACTCAGGTCTGCCATTGTTTGTAAACTACACAATATTTTCACAGGAATTTTACACAGTAAGAACCAGTTCTGTTTATCAACTGTTACTGCTATTCATTTACATTCTATGGAACTCTGTAAATGTTCTTTTCCCTTCATGTTTTCTGACCAAAATTTTGTATTCATTTCTTGTTTCCTCCATGCATGGTATGCATCTCATCCACCATATCTTCCTTGATTCTAATACTTCATGAGGAGTGCAAATTATTGAGCTCAAATTTTCTGTATTTCATTGCTTCCTCTAGCACAGTCGGTATAGCGACTGGGTACAGGCTGGGTGGCTGAGGGGTTGGAGTTTGAGTCCCAGTAGGAGTAAAGTTTTTCCCTCTCCATGTCATCCAGGCTGGCTCTGCAGCACACCCAGCTGTCTATCCAATGGGTAACTGGGAATAGGGCATCTGGGACGTGAAGCTGACCACTGACCTCCAACTAGTGCTAAGGTCAAGAATATGTGGATCTGTATATCCACTCCCTCATATGTATTCATGGCATAATGCTTAATTAGTTATGTAGAGGGACAACTTTAATTTTACCTCTCCTTAGGTCCAAATATTCTACTTAGCACATTCTCAAACACTTTCTTCCCTTACGGTGAGAGACAAACTATTTTGAATATATAATAATATTATTTTCAGGATGTATCAAGTGATGTGGTTCATCAGAATGACATAAATCGCAGTGGTCATCTCCAGAATGCTTGCAACTCACACACCGAATCTGACGTCCTTCGTCTTCGAAGGGTAAGGAATTACAGAGCATTTAAATTAGGCCTTTTTGAATGTATTTAATATTATGAGTACATTATAGTAACTTCTTCATGGTGGACTGGAATATCAGTTAGAGGAAGTATAGAGCAAACACGAAATATTAGAATATAAGTGAAAGTTAGCACAAATGGATGGATGAATTTGTGGGCAGATAGGGAGGCTGGTAGGTAGACAGACAGACAGACAGACATACTCCATAGATTCTGTTAAGTGAAATGTGGAGCAAAGCAGAGTATGATTTGAGGTTCTCACAGCAGTTGTTATGAACAGTTCTGTCTTCTGTGATGCAGTGCTGTGTAGTCTAGTGAAAGTCAACTGACCTCTTGGAGGAACATGCCACCTCCATCTTCAGGGCTGAATAGTAATTCAAGAAAAACCAGCTTGAAGTGTGCAAGAAGCACTGCGTACAGTTACAGAAACATATCTGTACGACAAAGTACACTACAGAAGATTTAATCACCATTATTAATAAGTCCTCATCAATTTTACAGTATATTTAGGAAGAGCTAAACTTCGGTACACTAAGCTTAAGATATGTTTATTAAAAAATTAATATATGAAGTGAGTATAGCAATTATACATGTAAAGTGACGAAGGTAAGAAATGGTAAAGTTGTCCCCACCCTTAATTAATGGAGCATGACGCCATAAAGTTATACAGGGGGTGAAGTTGTAGCTGCACCATTCTTGTGTTCTTGACCTTGGTGCTAGATGGAGGTGAGTGGTCAGCTTCACACCCCTGCCACTTTACCCCTTTGGAAAGAACCTCCAATATCCATTGTTTAGGAGGTTGGGTGGGCCCCAGAGCTGGTCTAGATGCTATGGAGAAGTGAAAATCTTGTTCCTGCCGGGAATTGAACCCCGGCCGTCCAGCCTGTATCCCATCGGTATATCGACTGAGCTGTCCCAGCTCTTAAGGAGGCTAAGATCAAAGAGACTGCATTGTGAAGTTGGGTAACGGTAGCAGTCCTGTCAATAGTATAAACAAATCATGATGTATATCGAGCTTAGGCTCGATTTATGTTGTTAACTTGTGAGTAAGAGAGATGATTAAACATTTGTGTATGCATTGATGCACGCGCGCACACACACACACACACAAGAAGTTCTGGAAGTAACTAATCATCTATATTCCTTTAATATGACAGAGACCGCATGGAAAATAAAAAAATTAGGGGAGATGGACGGACAGCAAAGTGATATCATGAGCCTCTTTATTTTTTCAAAATAAGGAAAGTAGACTAAAAATGTACTGGATCCTTCTTGCAGTTGGAGGGCTCAGACCATAAATGCCTGCAATATTATTAATATGGTTGGATTACAAATTTTTTGTATCAGTATGGTCAAAGAAGTAACCACTTTGAAATCTGTATGGGGAGTCGAAAATCTGGTAAGCAATATACGTGTATTATGAATTCACAGAAAATATAAGTCCTTCCCAGAATTTTAAGCTTATTTTCACGGGTGCAAGAACAATGGTTATTTAAAATACATGATAGGAGACCCTGAAGCAAAGATATTTCAACATCTTTTCTTAATTTCCCCAAATTTTGTATTTAAATGTGTTTGTCCACATAATGGCATACAAATATATAGTTTACAGTCTCAAGGCATACAAAATTATGCGTTATTGTAAACTGGTTTGTGTGTTATGCAGGAAATATATGCATATCATTTTTCATTTGCTTTTTTTAATTACTTTTCCATGGGCTATTTAATGATGCCTTCAGTATTGAGACTGTATGACACTGGATGATAGCTGAATGACAAATAAAAAAGAAGTGGCATGGCCTAGCGAAACTGCTATCCCAAAATTTTCCTGGAGAGACTGAGGAAATCCACGAAAATCTTGAGGCAGGATAGTGGATGTCGCTGCCAAGATTCAAACGCAGAATATCCTGAATACAAATCTAGAACATTACTTCAAGACCAGTCTGCGGTCGTCATTTTTTTGTGAAATGCATCGCAGTTCATAGCAAAATTTTACCAGACTGATAATATTTGAGAAATAAGTAATATGTAACAGGAGTGACGAAGTATTGAGGTTATGAAGGACTACTGTGGAAAAAGTGAAACTGAACTATTACAGATACATTCTAGACTTGTATGTGCATGGCATTAGATTACAGATAAATGAGTCTTTATTGTTTTCCTCAGAGTTCAAGTGAGCCGTAATGTTGCACCGAAATAGGCCACGACCGTTTTCTTTCACACCCTTAACAACAGACCACCTCTGATCATTTTCCGTTTCATTATGCGCTACTTTATACTCATGNCATGAAGGCTTGTGCGGGAATGTAGTAGAGCCCTACATATTTTTAACTTCGGTTCCCGATGGAGGTGAGTGGTCAGCTTCACGCCCCGATCACTCTATTGTCGGGGGGGAAAAGCCAGGTTCCGACCGAATGGAGGGCCATTCCAGACGATGCGAGAAAAAGAATACTCTCGTGACCCAGCAGGGAATCGAACGCAATTACTCGGTCTTGAAGCACGTAAGCAAGTTACTATACCCAGATCCTAATTAACTCAATCAATCATAATGATAGATGTTCAGGAGAATGCAGGGATAGTGCCTAGAAATGGAATGCGACCGCCTCCTTCCAAATCCATACCTGCTCGTCGTTCATGATCATTTTCCTAACAAATTCAGCGCTGTATCACTTGACATTGCAAAGCTAATGAACTCTAACTTGTCGTTGTTTTTTTGTCTTCCCTTCTTAATTTTCTTCTTTTTCTTTGTTTCTTTCCACCTTCCTTTCTTTTTAAAGTGACTCCTTAGGCGTGAAGAATCTGGACAAATTGTTATGAACCCTTCTAATCGTTTATCGTCCAACGTGTACGAACAGTACGGAAGCTTCTGGTGAATTGGCCGGATCTGCGCTTCATCGTCTGCCCTAATGGCCGGGCGTGTAGAGACGGGAAGTTGTAGGGGTGACGCTGCTTTGTTATCAATCAGAGGTCCACCCTGCCACGTAATTTGAACACATGCATCACGTACGTGGGAAATCTGCAGTGGTTGATGACATTTTGTGAGAGATAAGCGATGGGGTTGGGCCCACGTTGTGTTGTGTTTTATTTTCAGTAGTATTCCATTCGGTCACCTTTACCATTGAAATATATGTAATTGCCGCAGCCGCGGTTGAATGTTTGCTACAGACCATGAGTTCCCACTAAAACATTTCCTTAGCACTCCAAGATAGAACGTGAATTCGTAAGTTTATAGAACAAATCTTTGTAACTGAGTAAGGAAGACTGTACTGTGGGGTTATTTTGCTTGTTATCTGCAGTACACCATGTGTGAAGTTCGGTCAGTTTTGCCACAAGTAACGGAGCGTGCCTGGAGGGATTGTGGTGCACTTATTTGATACGCTTGGTGAAGTTAGTCTATCGATGACTTCGCTCTGCGTTACGTACAGTTCTGGAAGAAACGCTAGAAGTTTTCTGAGCAGCCAATGACGTATACTCTACTTTAATCAATCACTTTTCATTATAGAAACTACCTAAACCTATAAATAAAAAATATATAAACTGGTAACAAATTTTCATGCAATATTTCCTCTTCTCTGGAATCCAAAACCACGAGGCTCACACATGAAATCTCGAAGTTTTCAGACTACTCATGTGCTCTCTCAAATGGAGTCGCCTATGTGGGGACGAATGGGAGATCATTTGGATGATTAAATGGTAATGACATGGAAGGTAGCGGTGATTCATCGTACACTCGAAGGGAGGAAACCGCAGCCAAGGTTAGGACAGAGAATCGAAACAGCACCCATCTGAATACGAAGCAAGAGTGTTTTACCGCTCGTTTGCATGTTCATGTATAAATGTGGAGGCAGGTGTATTGCTTCCAAGCCATCTTTATTTCGCAGGTCTTACGGTTAGATGATATCCCTGATAAGTGTGAAGCAGTTAATGGATATTTATTGAACTTCACGCGAGCATCGTGTTCTTACAGAACGCTCGACCTTTGTACTCCTTAATTTTCTACCGTCAGTACGAACATGGCGGTAGTGCGAACTTGTGACGTGGCACTAAGAGTAATGCTGCTGTTTATATGCTAGCGTAGGATACGGAAAACGTGACAGCAGATCTACGAAAAATATTCGGATCTGGTTAAGGTAAAAGGTAAAGTTGTCCCAGTGCTTAACGCTTAACTAATTAAGCACTACGCCATGAAGGAATATGAGGGAGTGGATGTATAGATTCACATTTTCTTGACATCGACACTAGGTGGAGGTGAGTGGTCAGCGTCACGCCCCGGCCGCTTTACACCCGGGGAAATAGCCCCCGTACCCATTGGATGGGAGGTTGGGTGGACTCCAGAGCCGGTCTGGAATACATGGAGAAGAGAAAATTTTTGACCCTACCGGGACTCGAACCCCGACCCCTCGATCGTCCAGCCCGTAGCCAGTCACTATACCGACTGAGCTATGTCGGCTCCTCGAACCTAGTTAAGTACTTTTTTATGATGTATAACAGATATTCGGCGAATTGTATATTTATCGTTCGGTTTGGTGATGATGACTAATGAACTGTTTGAAGCATGTATCTGCATGTTATCTGTAGAACATATTTTGTTTGTCAATAAATAAGAATATGACGACGGCACAAAGCTGTGAGAGTATATCCGACAAAGTTAACATAGTCGGTAGGCGTACTATTGGGGATAATGCACAATAACTAATCATGAATTTGTGTAATTATTGATTTATGTTTATGTTTCTTGCTACCCTCGCCGTACAGATTGAAGTACTGAAAGAAAAACAGGCGCCATAAGCTCCTGCGGAAACGTCGTTTTATTTGTGGCATGCAAGGCCTGTTATTATGGTGACAAAATAAAGGAATATGAGACAGACGGAGCGTGTATCACATATCTGGGGAGATGGGAGCCGCATACAAAAAATTGTAGTTAAAAAACCAGAAGGGAATACCTGCTGGGGAGGCTTAGGCGCAGGTGAAAGCGTAATGTTA